TTTGAAGCCTAACTCCGCTGCAATTGGCTTAGAGTTAAACATTAAAAAATGCGAACTTCACTGCCAAAGTTTATTTCAGGTGCCACATGCGCTGGCTGAAATACCCAGAGTTGGTGCATCAGAACTGAGTTTTTTAGGCACACCCTTGGTCGAGGGCGATTATCAAATAAAGTTTTTTGACCAAAAGCTCTCTGAGCTTAAATTCGCCCTGGGTCGTGTTTCCTGTCTTTCGGCCCATGATGCCTTGACTATTATCCGCAATGCCCTCAGTTTGCCCAAATTGATGTACTTCCTGCGTACATCTAAACACATTGACCCTTCTAAATTGGGCGAATTTGACGGAGCCCTGCGCACCGCCCTGTCGTCGATTTGCAATGTTCAAGTGACTGACAGTGGTTGGTCCCAGGCTCAACTGCCGGTGCGATTTGGTGGGCTGGGGTTGCTTAGCGTGGTTCAGCTGGCTCCCGTTGTTTATAATTCTTCTGCCGCTGCCACTCTCGACCTGCAGTCTTCCCTGCTCCACCGGTTTTTTCGTTGCTGCGATATTCTTCCCCCAGTGTCCGCCCCGGGGGACCGTACGCACGTCCAAATTTTGAACGAAGAATATAAAAAAATCTTTCAAAATTTGTTGTCTTCATGCGGCGACGACTTTTCCACCGCTCGTTTGTTGGCCATGTCCAGCGTTGCCAGCTGTGGGTGGTTGAGATCGTGGCCTAACATCTCTGGGGGCACCAGGCTTGACGACGAGTCTGTGAGATTTGCCATTGGCTTCAGACTTGGCCTGGTCATTCAGAATAAATACACGTGCCGATGTGGCGCTGGGGCGGACGAGTTTGGGCACCACGGTTTGGTTTGTCGCCTGGGTGGGGGCCGTCAACTACGTCACTCAGCGCTAAACGATTACATTTGTCGGCTCTTCTCCAAGGCTTCAATCCCGGTTTTCAAGGAACCATCCGGCATTTCTGCGCATGATGGTAGGCGCCCGGACGGATGCACGCTAATTACCGACAAGGGTTGGTCTCAGGCTCAGCTGCCGGTACGATTTGGGGGACTGGGGTTACTAAGCGTGGTTCAGCTTGCACCAATTGTTTATAAATCTTCCGCATCTGCCACGCTTGACCTACAGTCTGCCCTTCTTCGGCAATTTAGTAGCCTACACTGTACTCCACTGACTCCAATCCAGCCAACAGACCTTTCCCAGGGCAACACTTTGGAGGAAGCATATAAACGCACATTCAAAAAGTTGCTTTCATCAAGCCCTGACTCGGCGACCTCAGCTCGCTTGCTGGCAGTATCCAGCGAGGCGAGTTGTGGCTGGCTGAGATCTTTGCCCAATACGTCGGTGGGTACCAGATTGGACGACGAAACGGTCAGGACAGCCATTGGCTTCCGTCTGGGGTTGGCCGTTCAGAGTCGATATACATGCAGGTGCGGCGCGGAGGCGGATGAACTTGGCCATCATGGTCTTGTTTGTCGTTTGGGCGGAGGTCGCCAGCAGCGACATTCAGCCATAAACGATTTTGTGTGCCGACTTTTCTCTAAGGCCTCAATTCCGGTTTTAAAGGAACCGTCGGGCATTGCGGCGCACGACGGTAAACGCCCTGACGGGTGTACCTTGATCCCTTGGAGAGCCGGCAGGTGCTTGGCGTGGGACGTTACCGTTCCGGGCACCTTTGCTGAGCGCTACGTGCAGCTTACTAGCAAAGAAAGCGGTTTGGCTGGAACCAGGGCATCTGACGAGAAGATCAAAAAGTACGACGGAGCTCTCCCCTCGATGGAGTTTTTACCGATTTGTATCGAGGTCCTCGGCCCCATGGACCGTAACACTTCCGGGTTTTTCAATCGAATTTGTAAAAATATCAGTATTAGGTCGGGCGATAGTAGGGAATATTTTTCTGCTATGAATAATATCTGGTGCATCCTGCAGCGGTTTTTGCGCGTCTGTGTGTTGGAAAATGTGGAGTTGAATGCCGACGGGGTTGAGTGACGTTATAGCAAATAAAATCAAATTTAGTCAGACGCTTGGCTTTTGGTGTCATTCGTCAGTGATTTGGTTTTAACATACATACATACATACATACATACATACATACATTCATACATACACACATACATACATATTAATATATGAATAAATAAATGATTGGATGAAAGAATGAATGAATGAATTAATTAATGGATGAATGCAGGATGGATGGGTAGATAGGTGAATGGAGTAAAGATTAATAAATAAATCAATGGTGGATGGATTGAAAAATGAATGAAACAATGATAGTTTAACAATGAGGATTGTTGCTTGAAAAAACCATGCGTGAATGAATGATTGAATGAGTGAAAAATAAACGATGGATAAATAAATGGATAAATGAACGTCGAAATAATGGATGGATAAATGAATGAATGAATGAAAATAGAAGACAATATGTATTGATCAGTCTAATTAATTGAAGCTAGGTACTATGTTTGTTTTATCGTTTGTCTGGAGATAAAAAAGTTAGAGAGAGAGAGAGAAAGAGAGAGAGAGAGAGAGAGAGAGAGAGAGAGAGAAAGAGAGAGAGAGAGAAAATAGGTTGAACAAACTCAAAAGATTAATTAATATCATAATTACTCTAAACATGTTCAGGATAAGCAGAATTGAAGGCCGTCGTCTTTGTTGGTCATTATTAAATCGTTTGTCGCTACTGTATTCGCTGTGCGTGCAATCAGGGCTGGCAGGGATTGAATAAAGGAATGAATATGAAAAAATGAGTAAGTGAATGATTGGAAAAACGAATGAAATGATGAAAAAATGAACAGATGGATGAAAAAATGATTGACTGAACGAATTCGTTGATCGCTTTTATCGGTAATTGGAGCCTCAAGCTGAAAAATTAAAGAAGATGATGACGACGACGACGATGATGATGGTAAAGTGATGATGATGATGAAGAACGTTAATTCTGATAAAGTTATAGCTATTAAAATATGCACATCTGTCTATGCCCACAAACACACACACACACACACATACATTCACACATACATAGACAAACACTCGCACATACACATACAGCCAAGCAAAAACACACATTTCATTTATTATTTAGCGTGATAGTTTCTGCGTCGTACAGTGCACCCTGTTATAGAATTTCAGGGAGTAGTTCGATTCCTTTAGCAGCCCCCTTTAGCAGCCCCCTTTAGCAGGGGGGGGGGTTGAGATTTTGCAACGTGGTGCAGACGGTGTAGGTCAGGAGCTTTCCAAATTTTTTACGAAATCTTAAATTTTAAGTAACCATAAATTTACAGGGCTAAAAAATATTCTAGGTGAATTATTAAGTGAATTATGAGTGAATCTTTGAATAGTTGGATTACTTTCAATTAAATTATAAGTTAATCTTAAAGAAATTTTTGGTGAATTATTAAATTAATTAAGGGAGGAATTAATTGAGTCTCTTAAAGCAATGATGGTGTCGACGACGATGATGACAAGCACTTTTTCCATAAATATTTTTTCCATCAGCAACGCCATGTTTGTTACCTTTGTCTATTCAGTGTTTTCTATCCATTTCCGGTTCTGTCATTGCATGTATGTGATGTTTTCGTTGACGAGGTAGTTGTTGTGGATGATGATGATGACGACAATGACGATGACGATGATAATGATGGTGACGTAATGATGACGATGTTGTTGAAGAGGATGACGATGATGTTTTTGATGAAAATAATTTTGTTAATGTTTTTCCTGATTAGCTCAATTCATTATTATAACAACCGTCATTTTTAGCCATTCACAACGACAACAATAACATCGCTAGCACTAAAAACACAACAACAACAACCTAATAATGTGACATCACGTGACTTTCAACATCCGGTCACGTGATCAGCGGCCATATTGGCCGTCTCCAAAGACTACAAATCGTTGACCGCTGGAAATATTGTTAGATGTATGCTTGCATGTAATTGTTTGACTCGTTCATAACTAAAAAAATTACGAATATACATGTGTGCACGTATGTATGTATGTATGTATGTATGTATGTATGTATGTATGTATGTATGTAAGTATGTATGTATGTATGTATGTATGTATGTATGTATGTATGTATGTATGTATGTATGTATGTATGTATGTATGTATGTATGTATGTATGTATGTATGTATGTATGTATGTATGTATGTATGTATGTATGTATGTATGTATGTATGTATGTATGTATGTATGTATGTATGTATGTGTGTATGTATGTATGTATGCATGCGTTCGTGCATTTATGCATGTATGTATTAATGAGTAAGGTGGGCAAATTTGCCAATAGTTTTAGTTCCATTGATTTTTGTGCAATAGTTTTACATACAGGCAGTGTTTTTGCAGCATTCATGCGTATTCGTAGTACGTACCTAAATACATACATTCACACATACATTCACACATACATTCACACACACACACGCACAAACATTCAGACATACACAAACGCATGCATGATGATCATGGACTAACAATGCATCAAAAAATTTGACCTTGACATTTAAAAACTTCTCAAATTAACTTCATTGCAGAGTAGATGATTTATTTCATTCTGTGGATCAACGATGATGATTTTGGCCTACACATAAAAAAACGGTTTAACTGTTTTATTTAAACACTTTGTGACACGATAATGATTATGATTCTACAAAAGCCTTGTGGTGCTGATGATGATTCTACATAAAAAAGTATACCTACTATAAATAGCAACACATCATATCAAATCAGCCATTCAGAGAACTTTAACTTTGGTTAATATATCCGCTAGTGTATAAATACATATATATATATATATATATATATATATATATCAATGACACCATATATACCACATATATATATATATATATATATATATATATATATATATATATGCTGCCTGGTTGAGTCTGCCAGTACACCACATCATTCATGGAAAGTAACCATCGTAGAGGTGCTGAATCAAATTGAACATGCATGCATGCATATTGTGGGTCGTACACAATCGAAATGTTTGGGCAGGCAATCGCAGACGCAAACTGTAAAGTACTTTGTCCTATATTAAAGTGTACGAAAGGTGTGTTTATGCTGGGATCATTTCTAGATACATCCCTATCAGTTTGGCGCGCCCATCTTGTTTCTCTCTTTCTCTCCCTCTCTCTCTCTTCTTCTCTTTCTCCCTTTCTTTTTTCTTCTCACGAAGTTTTATTTAAAAATTTGACCTTGAATGGTTGTAGTATGTAGACAATCGTAAAAATTGATGAAATATGATGATGTTTATGTGTGTATGCTTACGAGCGTATGCCTGTATGTGTGTGTGTGTGTGTATGTATGTGTGTTTGTGTATGTGTGCGTGTGTGTTTGTGTGCGTGTGTGTAAGAGTAAACAAATTTATTAGCTAAATAAATATTTTTAGAGTTTTTTTCTTACGTTTTTGTAGCTTTGTTTATTTTTTGGTATTTTTTTTATCTTCTTCCTGTTTAGATTCTTACTCTGGACTGATTTATAATCTTTCCTTTGAAAATTTTTAAACTTCCCCCTTTTTGCTCAGTTTAAATTTATTGGCCTTATAATAAAATAAGTTTTTATTCTTTTATTTTAGCTCTTTCATTCATTCGTTCTTTCATTATAGTTCTTTTATTCATTCATTCAGTCATTCATTTATTTGGTGATTAACTCGCTCAGTCACTCACTCACTTGCTTGCTTATTCATTCATCTGTCTCTTCTTCCTTTGCCCACCCATTTACTGATTTCTTCACTCACTCATTCATTCATTCTTTTATTCATCCTCCAACTAACACATTCCGTCATTCATTTCTTAGGTAATTAACTCCTTCACTCCTTCATTCATTTATCAACAAACACAGACACAAACAAACACACACAGACACAAACAAACACACACATACAAACAAACACACACTTGTCCATTAATATGTTTGTATGATAGTTTATGCCATATTAACGCAGCCAACAATTCAGTTATTGTTCGATGGTAAAAAAGATATTTTATTAGCCTGCTACATTTGCCTCTACATGTTTTACACTGCAATATTTGTAGTCATTATTAGTAATAATGGAAGTAGTGAATGCAATAAAAACAGCAGCAGCAGTAGTAGCAGCAAGATTAGCAGCAGCAGTGGTAGCAGCAAGATTAGCAGCAGCAGTAGTAGCAGCAAGATTAGCAGCAGCAGTGGTAGTAGTCGTAGCAGCAGCAACTTTGTCATTAGTAGTGATAGTAATAGTCGTTGTGGTGGTGGTTGAGTTTTTACGGTATTAATATTTTAGCACACATGTACGCAAAGTATGTACATACACATTCACACATATTCTTACACACATTCACACAGATATTCTTACACACATTCACACATATATTCTTACACACATTCACACAGATATTCTTACACACATTCACACGCACACGCACACACACATTCACACGCACACGCACACACACGCACATGCACACGCACACACACACACACGCATATACACGGTATTGAAACAAACTCGGCTGTACTGAACTGCTACTAATGTAAAAACTCTCCTCTCTAATCTTCTTCATTTTCTATCTTTAATCTTCTGTTTCTTATTTCACACGCTCTTTTTTTCTCTCTCTATTTTTCAAATCCTTTCTCCTCCGCTTTTTCTCTCTTCTTTTTTATTTCATTTTTCGTTCTCCTCTTTGTCTCTTTAATCTTCCTTATCTCTCTAATTTCATCAATTTCATCTTTTTTTTAGTTGTTCCCCCTCACCTCCTTCTTTCATTCCCTTCTTCAAATCCTTTCACTTTTTCTCTTTTTTGCCTCTCTCTTTTTCTCTTTCTCTCTCTCTTTTTAGTTTCTTTTTTTGTCTAATACCTTAAAATCTTCACCCATCTTAATAATTTCTCTTAAAAATTTTCCAAAAGATTATCGGCTTGAAAGTTAAATTAATAATAATAATAACTGTAAATAATAATAAATAATAATAAATAAAAAATAATTAACTACGGCTACTACTACTACTACTACTGAAACTGTTCTTATTGATTTCTCGGTTGTTCTGCCGCAGTGCTTTTATTGATCTTTGGTTACCTGAAAGTGCGCGCGCTCACGTCACTTCCGCTGCCTGCCGGAAACTATTTGGGATCTTTGTGTCATCGAGTATGGCGGTGCTCATGTGTTTTTGCATTGTTTATAATTATTATTATTATTATTATTATTGTTGTTGTTGTTGTTGTTGTTGTTGTCGTAGTTGTATATTGCCAATGTTATTTTTGTGGTTGTAATTTTTTTCTAGAACACAAAAGACTAATTCCCCTATATATTACACATACACATGCATATAGGTTGGGAGAAGACTACGTTTTATTCAGCAGGGGTAGGCATACTGAAGAAGTATCACCAATGCGATATCGGCTATAACGAAACTTCGATATAAACATCACAATACGTAAAACACAATTAATATTCATAAATTTTTGTTATCATAAATCATTATTATAATTTAGCCAATAATGTTATACTATATTTTTAACTGTTGGTTTGGTAAATTAACTTTCAGTGGAACCAACAGCGCCTACTAAAACGCCTGCATCCAGCCCACGCATCACACACACACACACTGCACGTGATAGGTGGAGGTTCACTTGTATTCGAACCGGGTCTCTGCAACTGCAGTTCCAGGCGCCTTTTCCATTACACCATCGAGCCACCAATCATACAAATTTTGCCTAATCTCTATTGCAAACATGATGCAATTATTCACTCTTCAGGTCGAATCATTCAACACATCGCCGTGTTTGCTTGCACATTCATTCATGCACTTCAAAACATGAATGAATGAATGAACGAATGCCTAGATGAATAAATGTCACTTATACATAAATGCAGCACATAGACACATTATCTCTTATGAAACACTACTAACAAAATATTAATCATGATGAACACATGCAAACATGAAACCGCTTGTCTATCTCTCATTTCTTCACTCTTTCCTTAATTCATTTCTTTAATTTTTCATTCATCCATTCCTTCACTTATCTGCTCATTCATTCACTCATTCATCAAACTAGGTATCAATCTATCATTCCGTTTATCCACAAATAATTCACTATATCCATTAATTAGGGTGTCTTCATTTTTTTCCTTCTCATCATTTATTCATTCCTTCCTTCCTTCCTTCCTTTCTTCGTTCATTCATTCATTCATTCATTTTTTCATTACTACTTTCATTCGTTTATTTGCTCATTCATTCTTGCATTTGTTGGTCAATTAACTAATCAGATAATTCATTGAATAATTCATTAATTCGTCCATTTTTTATTAGCCCATTTATTCTTTCATTTATATATGCGTTCATCAATCAATCAGTCAAAAAATTAATAAATTAGTTTATAAAGCGCTATTTCCGCGATGTTCATCAGCGCTTTTCAATAAATTTTGCAAACAGATGGGTCTTGAGATCCGCTCTGAACTTCGCAAGTGATAGAGAAGTAGTCAGAGAAGGAGGTAGAGAGTTCCAGAGAAAAGGACCAGAAAAAGCAAAAGCAGATTTGGCAAAAGAGTGTTTAACACGAGTTAAGAAAAAGCGAGAAGAAGAAGACGATCGTAAACCGGGGCTTTTAGGTTGAATTAATATATCTGATAAATACTTAGGAAATAATTTAGATTGAGACTTATACATGAACGTGCAAATTTTAAAAATTATTCTATATTTTATAGGTAGCCAGTGCAAGAGAACAAGATATGGAGATATATGAGAAAAGAAAGGGGCACGAGCAACTAGACGAGCAGCAGAGTTAAAAGCTTTACTTAAAGGATAGAGTATAGAGTCAGGAAGACCATAGTAGAGCGAGTTACAATAATCAATTCTAGATAAGACTAACGAAGTAACAAGAAGGAGAAGAATAGGATCGTCAAGAAAAGGCAAAGATATTTAAGTAAGAACTTCTAGCAGCATTATTAATCTGAGAAGAAAGACATTCTAGAATGAAAGATAAAACCTAAACTACAAAACTTATGAGAGACATCTAAAGTTTTAGAATCAGGTAAGATAAGGAGGAATAGTAATAGAGCGTTTAGATTTATTAAAACAAATTCATATTTAGAAGGATTAAATTTAAGACACATAGAGTCTGACCAAGCGATAAATGAAAAAAGATATGGAGACAGATTATGAAGAACACTATTGAGATTAGATTCATTCATTCACTCATTCGTTTATTTATTTATTCATTCATTCGTTTATTCATTCATTCGTTCTCGCCCGATATACGCCTTTAGTTTATGGCTACCAAGCTGAACGTTATTTAATTGTTTACGTATCAATTGTTTGTTGTTCGTTCATTCGTTCGTTCGTTCGTTCATTTCGTTTTTTGTTCAATCGTTCATTCATTCATTCATTTATTTATTTTTTCATTCATTTATTATGTTTGACTTTTCCATCCATCGTTCAATCATATCTTTTCTTCCATCTATTTTGTTTCTTGAATCATTCAAAATATTCATTCCTCCCGTTGTTCCTACATCTAGTCATTCATTCACTTATTCTTCATTCATTCATTTGTTCATTCATTCGTTCATCCCTTTTATTTTTCCACCCATCTGTCATTCATTCATCCAATCATATCATCGCAAATTGTTCCGAGAGCATGTTACGGGCTTCATCTTCCATTTCTCACTTCATCACTTCATGTCATCATCATCATCATCACCATCGTCATCCTCATTGTCGTCATCATCATCATCATTGATTAGCTGAGTCCCATTTGATTGATTAAACTTTAACGTTGCAATACACTATTTGCTTTATGCACGTATCTCTCTCTCTCTCTCTCTCTCTCTCTCTTTTCATCTCTTCATTTCCATTCTTTTCTCTCTTTCTCTTCTTCGAAACCACGATCGTCATCAGCATAATAAAAATAACTACTAAATTTATAATACCAACACCAACAACAATAATAACAACAATAATAATAACAAGCACCATCATCATCGTCGTCGTCGTTCATGTGATGGAAAGATTGCTGTTTGGATTGCATGCAGACGCTGACAAAAGTAGGTTCTCGATTCGTGGGGATGTTGTGGAAAGGGAGAGAGAAAGAGAGAGAGAGAGAGAGAGAGAGAGAGAGAGAGAGAGAGAGAGACAGCAAATCTGCCATTGCATAATACCATACGGATTTAGACATACTTTTCGCTAAATTCATGAATAGTCATGAATAGGCATGTAAGTCTGTGTATGTACAAATATATGTGTAAGTGTCTCTCTCTATATATATATATATATTCATATACATATGTGCCTGTGTGTGTTTATATGTATTTGTATATACTTTTTCATGTGTGCACGCATGTTTGTGCGTATGTATTGTAGATACACAGTACGCTTTGCATTTAACAGCTCAAGGCTTCATTAACACGACGAACCATGAAGGAGACGACAATTTTATTTACATTTTATTGGCATTCGAGAAATCATATTTTATTATTAATTTGATAATTTGTGGTGGACTTTAGCTAGGAAAGGTTTATAAACAATGAAGCATGAAAATATGAAAAAATTTAAACATGTATATAAGTTGTATTTATTTACAGTTACATTCATGTACAGTATTAAGTGATTAATTAAGTTAAAAAGTATTTCTCGTTAAATAAGCGGGTGTCTTGAATGAACAACCATACAATTATGTAAACAGGCGAAAGATGAATAAATAAACGTGTTAAATAAGTTAGATACACGTTGTGTGTGTGTGTTTATTAATCAGTATGCATAAGTGTGTTTGTGTATGTTTGTATGTGCGTGTGAATGTCTGTGTGTTTGTGTATGTACGTTTTAAACAACTGCAAAATATCAAACCAGTCAATGTACGATTGAATAAATTAGTTTTTTTTTCTAATAATAATTTTAAAATAAATAATAGGGAGCGTACAAATTTCAAATGTAAGTTTTATTTGCTTGAAATATTGTCAGAAATATTATTAAATAGTTTTTAGTTTTAAAAATTTTCGCGCCAATGTTTTCCTAAAATGTTAAGTTTGCTGAGTGGCCAGTGTTTAAAACTGAAACAAAAGACTTTTGTGACATACATTGCGGCGAAGTGTGTCCGTAAAATATCATCTAGATTTAAAATTTGGAACATCTGTACGATCATAAACTTTTTTTTTGCTCTGTTTTCATTTATTTATTTTTAAATAATTTTTTGGCGGGTTAAAATTTGTTTAAAATTTTTTGATCACCCTCTTTTGACGATTTTTTTTCACAATTTTTAATTTTTCCCTGAAAGCTTTACAAGGCATCTTTGTGGTTGGTGATGGTAATGATGCCGGTGATGATGGTGATGATGATAATTATTGTGATGATGATGACGATGATGATGATGACATTGTTGAATGAAATAAAAATAAACAGTTCGAGCTATGATAGGTGAAAAATTTAATGAAGTTTTATGCTATATTATGATCTAATTGATTGGTGCTATATTAGCTGTTATTGGATTGGTGGAAGTTTCGGAAGAAATTATTTGATTGGCTGACGTTTTTTTACCTGCAATCTAATTAGTTGATGCTGTGCTGAGAGCTACTTAATTGGGGAAAGCTTTAGGCAAGATTTGATTTGTTGACAATGAGGGAGAAGTCAATTGAAATATATTTTCGAATTCTTGGACTGAACAGTTTTGAAGTTGTTGGTGGCAGGTTTGAATGACTTGCAGGATGTTCGCGAAGATGGCCTCGTCGAAAACTGAATAGGCCGTGTTCGTCAGATTGAATGGCTCTGTGAGGTGAGGTGTTCCAATCGAACGTATGTCAACTTTTATTCCTCTATCGTTATTATCATCATCACCAACCCGCTTATCATCATCATCATCATCGTCGTCTTCATCATCATCACATCATTATCATCATCATCATCACCTTCGATCCCGATAAACTTCCAGGGGTTGGACGAACCGAAGGCTGAGGTCGGTTGAGTGATGGTCTTGCCCAGTCGAACCGACATGATATCCGACTCGAATCTTCGGTAAAACGTCAATAATAATAGACAAGAAAATAATTGTCATAATTTTATAAGGTTATAGTAATTATTGCAATTGTAATAATCACCATAATTATCAACATCATCATCATTACCACCATCATCATCATCATCCTGACAAACCTAAACTTATTAGCGAAATAATCGATAAACCCGCGAAAGAGTTCTCCGACATTTTGAAGGTTCGGCGAGGAGTATGGCGCCAGTTTCTCGTTCAGTGAGAGCAGACGGATGTCGATGATGTTGTTGAACTTGTGCTGGAGTATTGTTATCATTATTGACGGTATTTGTGGGTATTTCATGTACAAGTGTGTATGTTTTGTATATATATGTATGTGCTTTTGTTTGTTTGTGTGTATGTTTGATGTCTGTATGTTCGCGTTAGTTGTATGCCTGTGTGTGTTTGTTGGAGTTAACAATATCACATCATCATCATCAACACCTGCATTGGCTAATTACTAACTGGATACTTTTGCTGAAGGCTGGGTAATAATGGAGGGTTGCAACCACCTGTCAATCAATCAATCAACCAATCAGTTAATTAATCAATTAACCAATCAATCAATTAACAATCAATCAATTAACCAATTAATCAAACAATCAGTTAAGCAATCAGGCAACTACACAATCAATCGATCTCTCAAACAACCAACCATCCAACCAAACAACCAACCAACCAACCAACTAGCTAGCCAACCAGCCAGCCAGCCAGCCAGCCAACCAACAAGCCAACTAACACTGCAAATAGTGGACGACCATGAGGACCAGCGAGTAACTTGATATGGTACCATGGCTGGCGTCATTAATCCCCATACACCGGGCCCAATATTTCACGAAGATCACCAACGGAGCGACCCTGCAGTCCACTGATAATAATAATAATTATTATTATTATAAGTATTATAATTACTAATATTAATATTATTCAAATGATTTGTGCTTATGAGTGTAACATTTATAATAACTATATTTATAACAACTATGTACACCCAGTATCATCAACAATTTAAACAACAACAACAACAACAACAAAGACTCTTCTGTTAAACGTCAGACTCTAAAATTTATAAAAGCACATAAAATAATTTAAAACAAATAAGATAAATGAAATATTAATAATTAATATAATATATTATGTTTATATTATATTATAATAATAAATGAAAAAGCTTTCAGCCGGCAGTACTGCTCAAATAGAACTAAGCCAGAAGAGGATGGTAACGATTATAAAATCAGTCAGGCCTTCTTCTTCTTGCAATGACGCCAGTTACCACAAGGTGACAACGTTAATAACAGATAATAATAATAAATAATGATAATAAATAATAATAATAAATAATAATAATAACAAATAATAATAATAATAACGCACGGCTTGAGTATGCGTTGAGAAGATGTGTGTTCCTTATGCCGACTGGGTTGTTAATGTTCAAATCACATTCCACCGAACTGCAACGAAAAATATTTCATTATCATTATTATTATTATTATTATTTATTATTATTATTATCCAACCTTATTCTATCAGTGAACTTGAGTATGGGGACTTTAGCGTATATTAGCTTAAGGTCTTGTAAGAAGGCTGAATGAACGAATGAATGAACGAGCGAACGAATGAATAAATGAATGGATAGATGGATGGATGAACGAACGAATGAATGAATGAATAAATGAATGGATGGATGGATGGATGAATGGATGAATGAATGGATGGATCGATAAATGAATTAAGGCATTTTTATATATGGGTTAAAATAATTAGCGAAATTTTATTTTCAACAACTTATTTTAGTCATCAACATTCTTTCATCATCTTAATCACTACCATAATCATTATCATCATGCCCATAATCATCATCATCACCATAATCAATATCATCATCATCATCATGAATAAACAAAACATACAGCATTTGTCTAAAGTCTTGAATAGAAACTTCAATATATTAGTTGCTTCTTTTCTTTGATCTATCTGTGGGTTATGCGTGTGTGTATGTGTGTGTTGATGCGTGCGTGCGTGCGTGTATGTATGTGTATGTGTGCGTGTGAACTTATATCCGTATGTATGTATGATATGTATGTGTGTGTGTATGCACCGAGTGTTAGGCTTAGCCACCGATTATTATTTGACCGAAATTAGACATTCGGATTCCGACACTTCTTCAAAAGACAATTTTTGTTTAAGCTATCATTTTTATGGGATTGTTGATGATTATTAGCAGAAAATATATTTTTGCCATCAGGGCTGTCGAAGCATCTGATCTGGAACGATAGATTGGATATAATCTTAATATAAAAAAACTGTCTGATGAACACGGATCGATCTTATTTTCAACAGCTCGTTTTTCATTTTATTGTCAGTGGATCAACTATTCAACCATTTATTCGGCTTTTTGTCAAAATGCATGTTTAAATGCTTATGTTCGCATGTATTTATGTCATTATTATCATCATCATCATCATGAATATCATCATCGTCATCATCATCACCTCCTTGTGACTCAACATGAGACAGAGATCCATATCACTGTTGACGTTTCCGAATCCATTCATCGACGAGCCGATGACGTACAAGCCACAATCTGCAAAACAAAACAAAACAACTTGACAGCCACAAAGCTGGAGGCGAGCGACAACTAAATAAGGCGACAAAAAATAGCAGCCGAAGTGGCGTTAAAAAGTTGCATGCAGCCAGGTCGTGCCTTCACGACTTCACGGCGGCTTTCGACTGCCATTAAGATAGGCCAGCAAATGGAAGAGTGAACCACTACGACAAAAAAACACAAGTAAATCATTGATGATAACAAATATCGAAATTGAAACTCATACGGCGTCTAACATGGAAAGAGCCCTTTCATAATGGAGAAAAGCGCATCTCTGAGTTTCATCTTCCCGATGTATGTATCCTTTTGTTGCTGGTTTTTCTCAAAAAACTCCATGATAAATGTTGAGATCTATTTATAGGGTTTGGTACATTTTTTGAGATAATTCGTAACGAATTAATTTTAAATAATATAATTTTCCTCTTCAATATAAACGATGAGTCCGTTAAAAGCAGCATCAACATCAACAACAACAACATCAACAACAACAACATCAACAACAACAACATCAACAACAACATCGATAACAACATCAACAACAACAACAACATCAACAACAACATCAACAACAATAGCAACATCAGGACTCACTAAATTAGAATCGCACTTTACGGGCATGCTTTTAAGGACATCAAATACCTTGCTGATCTTTTTTTCGTTGATGTTGTTGTTGTTACGATGATTGCTGATGTTGTTGCTAATGTGATTGATGTCATTGTTGTAGTAGTTGTTGATGTCTTTGTCGATGTTGTTGTCGATGTTGTTGTTGATGTTGCAATCGTTCTCAACATTGTTGGCATTTGAAGCAGAGGCTGAAACATCAGTAGCTTCATTGCTTGCTGTTGACGTTGTAATTGTATTATAAACACTGCTAATGATGGTGTTGTTATTCAAAGCAGTAGCATTATCAGCCATAATTGATGCAGCTGTCAAGTGTTTAGCAACAAAAGTAGTAGTAGTAGTAGCAGAAAAAGCGGTAGTAGTAGTAGTAGAAGTAGTAGTAGTAGCAGCTGCAACATTAGCAATAGCAGTCGTAGCAGCAGTAGTTGTAATTAGGTTTATTATGTGTGTTGCATATGTGTAGAGGTTCTTTTCAAATTCAAATTGAATGAAGTTGTTGTTGTTTTTGTTGTTGTTGTTGATGTTTTTAATGCTGTTGTTGTTGTTTATGGTGTTGTTGGATGATTGGAAGTCTGAATTATCGTTTATAATATCTATCTCCATCTGATCTAGACCATTTTGCTGTTGTAGCACATTTTTCTGATGTTGTTGTTGCTGTTGTTGTTGCTGCTGCTGCTGCTGCTGCTGATGTTGTTGTTCTGTTTTTAAATTAACTGATGGTGCGTAAACAGAAAGCGTTGAACAAGCGTTTATAGATGTTGTTGTTGTAATTGTCATTGTTGATGATGTCATTGTTGTTGATGATAAACGACAAGTTGTTGTTGTTGCAAATGTTGTTGTTGACAGTGCGTCAAAATGTTTTGTTTTGGTTGACGTCATTGCGTTTGTTGATGTTGTCGTTGCTACAAACAACGCTTGAATTAGAGGTAACATTGATGTTGTTGTTGTTGTTGTTGTCGATGTTGATGTTGTTGATGTGAATGGAAATTTTGTTGTATTAGTAGCCGAGATAATAGGCGATGATATAGACAATACGGGCATGTAATAATAAGTTGATGATGTTGATGATGTTGTTGTTGTTGTTAATGTTGTTGTTGTTGTTGACAATATTGTTGTTGTTGATGATGTTGTTGAAAATTTTGTTAACACTGCTGAAATTTTCGTGAAATTCAATGTCGAAGATGATGAAGACGGCGGTAGCGATGATGACAACATTGTTGATAATTCTGTTGCTGCTGCTGCTGTTGTTGTAGTTGTTGTTGTTGTTGTTGTTGAGGATGATGATGTTGGTGACACGTGATCATTTTGTTTTTGTTTTTTAACTTGGGGGCAGGATAGCGTAGGTGCGTTCATATTCATCTGTCGCCTGCAATTAATAATAACAATAATAATAACAATAATAACAACAACAACAACAATAATAATAATAATAAAAAAATAGAAATAATAAGAACATTAACGACAATAATCATCATCATCATCATCATCATTGCCAACTAACTTCTGTGACCGAATGTTGTTGGAATTATGCAAGTTTTCTTTGTTACAATCATTACCATTACTTTTGTTACCGTTATTATTATTATTGTTGTTGTTGTTGTTGTTGTTGTTGTTGTTGTTGACGTTGTTGACGTTGGCGACAGAAGGAACAGTGTTTTGAAATTTTGAAAACTTTTTTCTGGAATTATTGTTGTTGTTGTTGTTGTTGATGTTGTTGATGTTATTGATGTTATTGTTGGAATAATAATAATAAGGATAATGATGAAGTTGTTGCGGCTGCGGTCGCTGGTAACAGTTTAAATTGTTGTTAGTGCTATTGATGTAATGTAGGTAACTGTTGTTGGTGTTGTTGTTGTTGCCGTTGTTGTTGTTGTTGTTGTTGTTGTTGTTGAAAATGTTACTTTCAAAGAGATACGAGTGAGCCATGGCTTCTTCGTTTATTAATTCGTTGTGTCCTAAAATGATTTAAGAATTGTTATTTGATCGTTCATCTACTCATTCACTCCTTTGTTCCTTTATTCATTCATTCATTCATTTATTCATTCATTCATTCAAAAGTTTATTTGATAATCCATCCATCCATCTATTCATTCGCCAATGCATCGATTCGTCCGTCGTTCGTTCGTCTCTTTGAATTCTTGATGGCTATTCATTCATACTTCGTAATTGAGAGTTATGAGGTACTGTGACTGAAATTATTTTACAAGCCTGCATGCCTTTCAGCGAGCTGTTGTTGTTGTGCGAAATAGATTAGTAAGACAAACCGAGCCAAAACTTTATTCCAACGAATTCAACCCGTTATAAAAACAAACCCACAGAAGGCGTCATCACGTTCAGAACAGTCGTAGAATTGAAGCCTGAAGCTATCGCCAGTCTAATTATATTGAATTATATTGTATCTGACGCCAGTCTGATTATATTTGACGACACGAAAAAAGAATCAGAGGAAGAGTGCTGAAAGTGAAGCGGACGTGCCCAAGGCACGCCAAATGTAGAATGTAGGAGAGGCATTTGCTGGAAGTCGACGGGTTCAAACGTGTACAACTTGAATATTTAAGGTCAGACCCGATCGAAGTCAGGTTTGGTTGGCTATGACAAAAGTCTGCGAAAATTATTTTATTTCTGCTGAACAAATGGTTGAAAACGACAATAGATCAAGAACGGCGCCATTGCCAGCGCATTTCGAACTATCAACTAACGAAGTTTCTGATGTTGTTGAGGCTCGATGCTGTTGAAGGTAGCAGCAGATAGGGGCAGCCAATGAAAGTGTTCCACAATTACTATCAATCTCAATCAAAATCGGCAAAGCAGACGGCGGTGAAGCGACCACAACTTTCTACGTGTCGGCAGCTGACCGTCACAGCGCACTTCGTAGAGAGATGTTAGTGGATGGTGAGGTCGTATGAAGGAAGAAATATTCCAACGAGATCATTCTGAGGGGACTCATCGAACCATCTGAATATATCTTCGGAATGTGTAGTGTGGGGTGTTATATGATAATATGGATTATATCCACCATTGTTGCGAGCAAGGATGGTGCATCTGTTGGTAAGTGGGGTAATTGTTGTAAAGCATTGTAACTGCATTTAAATAACTTGGTATTCCAGTACTTAATTGCTATCGAGACTTCCATGGTTCGTTTGTCCATTCGTTCATTTTTTTTGGTCTTTCGTCAATTAATTATTTTGTTCATTTATTCATATGTTCGTTCGTTCGTTTGTTCATTCATTCGTTCCTTCATTCATTCACTCACCATTAATCTGACTATGGATTTCGTAATACACCGCATCGCAGTCGACATTGCTGTTGTTGATGTTGTTGTTGATAATGCTGTTGTGGTGAGTAATGTTGTTGATGTTGTTGTTCAAAGAAATATTCATGAATTGTAATTGTTGTTGCTGGTTATGCTGTGTGTATTGATCAATGTGACGAAAATGATGATACATTGGTTGTTGTTGGTGTTGTTGTTGTTGATGTTTTGGATAAATATTTTTGTTGTTTGAATGTTGTAGTAGTAGTAGTTGTTGTTGTTGGTGTTGATTTTGTTGTTGTTGTTGCTGTTGCAATAAGCTTAACCTTTCTTTCAACTGGGACATTGTGTTGTTATTATTATAATTATTATTATAATTATTATTATAATTATTATTATTTGTGTTGTTGCTTGCAGAAACTTTTAATTTATCAACCACAATATTTGGACTTTCAAAATTGTTAACGATTTCTTTGTTGTCGCTGCTGTTGTTGTAGTTGGTTGTTTGTATTGTTTTTGCTGATCTTGTTGATTTTATTATTGTTGCTGATGATGTTAATGTCTTTGAAATTGATGTTGTTGTTGTTATTGATGATGATGTTGTTGTCGTTGTTGTTGTTGTTGTTGCTGTTGACAATTTAGGAAAAAGAGACGTTCCTAGAAGATTATTCGCGACAGCTTTTAGAGTACTCAAAGAACATTTTTGTTGATGTTGATTATGTTGGTGAGGTTGTTCTTGTTGCTGTTGTTGTTGTTGTTGTTGTTGGGATATTTGTTTAGAATAGGGAGAACTTATCGTAGAAAAAGTGTGTCGTTGTGCATCTAAAATGCCCTGTTGCGTTGACGTTTTTGTTGTCGTTGTTGTTGTAATAAGTTGTTGCTGCTGATGTTGTTGTTGTTGTTGCTGCTGCTGCTGATGTTGGTGTTGTTGTTGCTGCTGATGTTGTTGTTGTTGCAGCTGATGTTGGTGTTGTTGTTGCACCTGATGTTGGTGTTGTTGTTGCAGCTGATGTTGTTGTTGATGTCGATTGTGCTTAGTGGTGCGATGTTGCTGATAACTGTTCCATATAATCTGAGGTGACCGAACTGAAATTTATCATTTCAAATTATTGCTATTATTATTATCAGTTCATACAAACTAACACATACATACACTTACTCACACGTACGCACGTACACACACAAACACACACATGCACCGAATATTCGGACCAAATTTGGTATTTGGCTGCAGCTATAAAGGCAGAATATTGCAATTTTCGTTTGAACTACCAATTTTTTTGGATTCCAGAACGATAAATTTAGATTATTTTATTAGTGAGAAATCTGTTTGTCCCTCTATAGCAGCCGTTAAAACATTTGAGTTTGGACAAGTGATGAAGAATTGTTCGATAGACGTGAATTCGTCTTCTGCTGTTTTTTCACTCAGACTGTTTCATTTAAAAAAAAAAAAAGAATTTTTTTCAACGTTTTGGGTTTTTTGATATTCCGCCATTGGCTTCGCGCTTGGCTTTTCGCCAGGCGACGGCCAAATTCACCGTTCGCTGCCTCTTCAAGGCTTGCACATTAGCGTCATAATCATAAGCACGCACAATGAATAAATAAACACCTAAAAGTAACATATGCACATAATGTTCACGTACACAAACATACATGCTGGGTATAATATTGAATAAGTGGCATAAATTCACATAAATTTAGATAAATAAAAATGCTTCAAGAAAATTATTGAATAAAATTAAATAAACCAACGTGGATCCGGGCTTTGGGTGTTTAAAACGTTAAAAATATTATTATTATTATTACTCATTTTTATTTTACTTTTTTAAATTTTTGTTTTTATGATATAAAGAATAAATAATTCTCATTTTTATAATAGTCTGAATTGAATTGTTGTGACAAAATCATATTTTTAAGTATTTGGGAATCAATTTCAACAAATTTTGCATAAAAATCTTGCAAAATTAACAATTAATTATGAATATTGAATTTAAAACAATCAATTATTAATTATTTTCTATTAAAAATAAAATAATCTTTACAAATTCATAATTTTAAAGTAGTTCAATTGAAATCTTCATATCGTCATAAATTCATATATCAGACAGGTTTCTTATGTAATTTGGCGCGATGATATAACGGTTGTACGAGTTTAAAATATTATTTCGACATGGAATAATATAAATTACAACAACAATTAACGAAATTATACACAAGCAAATTTACAGTTAGAGCTTTACTTACTACACACAGATACAATAGTTTTTGCAATACTTTAGCCATCCCTGAATTTTGTAAATAAAACTAAAAGTTAAGTCTAATAGTATATTTGTGCCGCTTTTGGATTGAAATATTCAGGAAAATAATTGTTTTTTACGTTCTGCTGGAATTCTTTGAGAGAAGTTTTTTGAAGGTGTTTGCCTCCATCGTCAGTTTTTACAATTTTAAATTTTTTTATTTTTTCATACTATTTTTTGAAAATTTTAACTTTTATAATATAATTATCTTATTTTTTTAATTTTTACTTATTTTTTTCATAAAAAGTTGATAATGGAAATAAATACCTAATTTTACATGAAATAGAAAGAATGAGAGATAGATTAGCTAGATATGTTTAATTTAATTTTAATTAGATAAGATTATATTGTTGTTTGTTCTTCAGTTGATTATTTTGTTTCTGTTTGTTTGTTGTTAGAGTAGATTAGACATCAGAAATTAAAATTATTGAATTTTTTGTTATACCTCTTGTAATGAACAACTTGTTAATAAAATATTAATAAAGGAATTTAATTATTAAATTTCGATTCTATGTTATGATTATCAATAATTTATTTTTTTAATTAATTAATAATTAGTTTAATAAAATAAAATAATGACAGAAGATAGTAGGAATGTTTACGCTGAGTACTCAGTTGAGATGTTGGACGTTCGCAAGCGCTGACGAGCTGGAAGAGTTGAGGAGAGAGACGAGAGAGGCTTTCATTAAGAAACAAGAAGATTCCATTCAGGTTCTTTTTATTTATTTATTTAATTTTTATTTATAATTATTTATTTATTTTAAATCTTTATTTTATTGCTTTCACTTTTTTATTCCTAATTAATTAAATTTAAATTTAACATTATTCCTGGTATGAATATGTTATTTATGTATAATAAATTTTTACATTAATTGAATTTAATTAACTTTATTATGTTATTATCAAATAATTTATAAATAATTTCAAATGTGTGGGGAGGTGGTCTCTTTATTTATAATATATTATAATTATATAATTAATCATAATTATTATAACGATTATGATGTTTGGTCCTGCTGATGTTGAACATCCCTAATCTTGGATTCAATAATAATAATTATAGTTTGTAATCATAATAAATGAACTAATTATTATATTTGTTTTTTCTTTATTAAGGATAGTTCAATATTTCTGAGTTATGAAGAAGAGTGTCAGCTTAGGAGGTACTATGAAGGAAAGCTGAAGAGATTTTGCCAGAGATTTCAACCTCAGATGCCTAATTATGTTTTGGTCGGTTGATGATTATTTTCATCACCCACCAAAAGAATTATCATCATTGTCATCATTCCCATCTAACTATCATATACAAACATGTATACAGGCGCGCGCACACACACACACACATTTATATATATTTACATATTGGATTAAGACTATCAGAAATCAATACTAATGTTGATTTTCATATATTAATATATATATATATATAGTATTGTATGAATACTGTATAAAATATGGTCTCATATATATTTATGTATATGTATATTTTGTGTTTAGACTATCATAAATACAATTATTTATAAAGATCACTGCGTTTTTGGCATTATTCAACTTGCAGTTGAGTTTCTCAATTTTTCTAACGAGACTTTTATCATCTTGATGAAGTTTATTAAGGTTAAATATGTTTATATGCATGTAGGGGACGGCGATGGCCTATTTCAAAAGAATCTATCTACACAATTCAATCATGGAACCCACTCCTGAAGACTTCATGTAAATATTACTTTTATTATTTTTGTAATTATCATTAATATTATTATTATTATTATTGCTGTTGTTGTTGTTGTTAATATTATAATATTATTTTAGGTACACTTGTGTATATTTAGCGTGCAAAGTTGAGGAGTTCAACTTGACGATGCAACAGTTCATATCCAACTTAGATGAAGATCAAAGCAGGGAAAGTAATATATTATTATTATTTCTATTATTATTACGTGTGTGCGCGCGTGTGTGTGTGTGTGTAATCATCGCAATGATCATCATCATCACAATTATCACCACAATCACCACCACCAGATAGAGAGAGCAGAATCTTAGCGAAGGAATTGCGAGTGATGGAGATGGTACATTATCACCTGACTGTTCACAACCCATACAGAGCTCTGGAAGGATTGTTGATTGACGTGAAGGTGATGATGACGATGACGATGGTGACGATGATAATGATGTTTATTATTATTGTTATTATTGTTATTATTATTATTATTATTATCAGACCAGATGTACAGACATAGCAGAAACGGAAAAATTGAGACCATTCTTCGACCAGTTTTTCAACAAGTCGGTACTGACGGACGCCTGCCTGCTATTTCCGCCATCACAGGTTGATTATTATTATTATTATTATTATTATTATTATTATTGTTATCGGATATATAGCTACACCTTCGTCTTTTTCGTCATCGTCATCATCATCGCCATCATCATCATATTCATCATCGTCCTTCTCATCATCTTCTACCAACAAATATCAACTCTTGCCCGCTGTCTAAAAATGAAATCGCAGAGCAGAGCCACCACCACGTAGCCGCCACCACCACCACCACCGGACAACCGCAGAGCATGCAATTTATTTTTATAATAATTTTTATAACCCAGATCGCATTGGCTGCAATGATAACAAGTGCAACTAATTTGGGCCTCAACGCTGCTTTGGATAGGTTGGTTGGCTGGCTGAGTGAGTGAGTGATCAAATGAGTGGATGAATGAACGGATGAATGGATGAATAAATGAGCGAATGGATGGATGGACAAGTGATTGAATGAGTTTTTGAATGAAAAATTCTTGGATGAGTAAATGAATGAATAAATATCTTGACGAATGAGTACAACATGCCCCCTTGACAGTTTCATTGCCAACAAGCTTTTATGTTCAGGCAGCTATGAAACTCAACAAAAAATAACTTCCCAACTGCAGAGTGAGTTATGATGATGATGATTGTGATGATGAAGGTGATGATGAAGGTGATG